AATCCTAAAACCCCCAACTTGCTCACAGGGAACGGGAATCACCCGAACATGATTAACTTCTCTTCTTCCAAAAGTCAAAAAACGTCACCCTTACGGCTAGCTTACAAGAGTCCTCAGAAGCTTCTCGAGTGGAAGCAGCAGGACCCCATCCAATTGGGGTGGAAACAGGCAAGCCCTAAACAGTCACCCTTGCGGTTGGGTTACAAGAGTCCCCAGAAGCTGCTGACAGCAGGATCGTTTCAAACGCCTGCGTCGTACCACTCAGCAGCAGATTCATTTCAAGCGCCTGCGTCGTACCAATCAGCAGCAGGATCAAATAGCACATCTGCGTCGTACCAATTAGCAGCAGGATCAAATAGCACATCTGCGCCGTACCTATCAGCAGGATCAAATAGAACATCTGCGTCGTACCAATCAGCGCCCGAGAGACTTACGCGATCCGGTGCATCTCAAAAGCCCGACGACCTCCCAGACATTACAGGCCTCTTTCCGAACAACGCAAACGTGAGACTACCGTCCCCGTCCTCTTCACCAATTCCACTCCCGCTTCCATACACTTTCCGTCCCCGAGCTACTAAGAGAAAACAAACGAGACAAAAGAGACAAACTAGACTGCTTAAACCCTATGGAAAGCACGCCAGATATGCACAAGTCTTGCGAAGAAAAGTAGACCCGATATAGGAGAACAATTAAAGAATGCATCGAGTACACCAGTTGCACCAGTTGCATCCGAAATCTCAAGCAGCCAAGCGGTGCGCCAACTTCTGTCGTCACCATCAGACTGAAGAGAATCCCTGGGTTGATTAGTTATTGCTTTGTCACTGGATTATTTTGTACGTCAAGTGCAGGAAGCATGGTGAATTGCCGAGTTGGAGTGTGTGCCGGATATACGCTCAAGCAAACAAGGTGTAGGGCATGCGTCTCTGAAGGAAACCGGTACTGCTGGAGGCATGTGCCAGTCCGGGTGATTCCGGTCCCGGTGAGTATACCCCGAAGGAGGGCAAAGGTTCCCAGAGCTGTACCTGTTCCTATTGTACGTTCGCCGAGGGCAACTCGTGCCAGAGCTGTCCTTGTTCCTGCTGTACGTTCGCCGAGGGCAACTCGTGTCAGAGCTGTCCCTGTTCCTGTTGTACGTCTGCCCCGGAGAGCATTCACCAACATGACAAAGCTACCCGCGGGGTGTGTGGACATGAGGAGGTTGAAGAAATACAGGGAGAGGCCCAGCCCCGGGTATCCTGGAAACAAGTGCAGGGGTGTCGTCATGCAGGGCAATGACGGTCAAACGAATGAGTCCCGGAGCAGTGGCAGACCGGACGTCTACAGGTGGTACAAGGTTTGAGGTTTTAGGCCTAGAGGCAAGAGGGTTTCTCCCCAGAGCTACAGGGTTTCTTGAGCTGCCAGAGTGAGGCCAACTTGCAAGGATAGATACTTCTTGCGTTCAGTGTAATGCATTTTCCTGATCAGTAGAAGCAACTAAGAATATGGCAGACAATAGCGACCGTCAGCGTATTGCTGAACTCGAACGAGTTGTTCAGGCACAAATGGAGCGACTTGCTGTTTTGGAACAAGCTCTTCATGCGCAAATGCAACTTATAGCGGAAGAAAGAGAGCGTGCAGAAACAGCGCTTCGTCGGGTTGCTGACCTGGAAAGGGGAAGGTATGTGGATAATTAACACGTACATGCATTCTGGATCATCTTTACGTACAAAAAAGCTTCTTCCGGTGGATGCCTTGATAGATTGAGAGAGACCCTTCTCTCACTCGGCCAGATTGGAAGGATGTTGCCGGGGAGCTTGAGCGTAACCCTGACATGAGTAGGTGAGGTGTGAGTGATACAACAAATTAGGGTTTGCCAAAAAGTATCCAACTTTCAACCCCAAGCTGCCACGTACGGATTTAAAGACTACTGTTGTCCTACCCGGCGTCCGATTGCCGCTGATCCAACGGTCAGTGATAAACGTTGGCTGCAAGTCTACATTCGGTGCCTCGGCGGGGTAATGTGTCTTATTGCAATTCCAAGCCGCGCAACTCGGGCGCCTTCCGGACGGGCAGGATGCCTAAGAGGCGCTCCAAGTTGGCTGGTAAGACCTGCGCACTTTGACAGCAATTGCGGCTCTGAAGTGCACAATGGCATTCCTCAGCGCTTTCTTTTTAGGGGTTGGTATGACTCCGCACTTTCTGTTTTAGGGGTTGGCACGGCTTAGCGCTTTCTGTGTCGGGTTGGGTGGCATTGCATTGGCATGGGTTGCGCTTTTCTGTGTTGGGTGGCATTGCATTGGCATTGCGCTTTCTGTTTTAGGGGTGGCATTGCTCAGCGCTCTCTGTGTTGGGTGGCATTGCATTGGCATTGCGCTTTCTGTTTTAGGGGTGGTATTGCTCCGCGCTTTCTGTTTTAAATGTCATAGCAGTCACAGTAAATCTGACGACAGTTATTTGCACGCACGTCGATATACGCTTCACGCTGTGGCCTTTACAGCTCTTCATCATCACAGTAGCTCTGACTGCAGTCTAAACACAATTGCATCGCATGGAGTGAAGTCCGCACATGGGTTGAAATGCAATGCAATATTTTGCATTGGATGCAGGTGCTGGGTTGAGCATTGAAGACGCACGGGAGTGGTGCTGCGCAGCTAGGTAAGAGTTTGCTTATGTTTTGCTTTTGGCTCAACTGCAGATGAGCATAGTCTGCTTGTTATCTGCATATGCGCAAAGCGTGCCAGGAAGAATAGTAGTTAGAATGTTCTTCCTTCTGTAATCAACTGCCACTACGGATGAACAGAAGCACAAGGCATTTGAAGGCTGTCTCTATATGGGCTAACTCTGCATTTCAATTCTGACAATACCTTTTGAAATTTGCTTGTCATCTGTGTATGTGCACAAACCATGCCAGAGCAGAATGCTTATTGTCTTGTATTGCTCTTCTTCCATACAATTGCTTGTAAGTTCTGTGCTCCTCTCCCATACCAGTTAGATTATGTTGTTCCTTCTGTAATCAACTGCCACTACGGATGAACAGAAGCACAAGACATTGTAACTTCTAGCTCATTACCAGTTATTGTTCATTCTGTAATCAACTGCGCTGTGCAGGCAGTCAAAGGATATGCGGACATATCTGAAACCTCTCGTCATCGAGGATGGGACGCTGGAGCGCTTGGATACAGCTTTTGGTGCTGAAGTTGTGCGCACCTTAGCAGACATTGCCGAGACTGCAGCGCGCATCAACAAGGAGTACATTCATCTGGATTGGGACAAAGAGTGCCTTTACTTTCAGCGGGGAGTCTATTTCACTCAGGTGGCGAGGGATCTGCGGAGCCTGACTCTCTGCTATCCCTCGTTTGGTGCTATGCCAGCCCTTGCGAAAGAGTACTTCAGAAAGCTTCTGGATGAACAGCAGGACCTTTATGAGAGGATCTATAAGTTGGAAGAACCGGATATAGGTCCTGGTGATCAGTCCGCACGCCTGAGCGTTGAAGAGCCGTCTGATGTACAGAAGGGGCAGAAGACCTCAGGTCCCATGATTCTTGCGCATCTGAGCGAGCAGGGAATGGTAAGAGAAGTGAAGGATGAGGTTGCCACTTCCGAGTGGACCACCTATGAGGTGGCATACCTCCTGGATCTCTTTGGAGGCGATGAAACAGCACTGGCACAGTGGGCAGACGGCGCCATCTCCAAGAGCTTATTACCAGTTTCGTCGAAAGTGTCGCGCGGATTTGCCCGGTTGGTGAGGCAACTGATATTGTGGTGAAAACTCTCTCGAGGAGACGCTCTCCGACGCTCCAGGCAGTCGATGTGAGCTAGCTTGAGGGTTGGCATGAGTTGGGAAGGTTTTTGTGTCAATATGGATGTTATGTAACACGCTTCACAAACTCCCAGCGGAAACCGGTGTCCGTGCTGCCTGTGGTTGCAGCATAGTGAACCCTCCCATACGACACGTCGTTCTTCTCTGCTGCCTCTGCAACTGTGCCATATGTCTGCAGAAGCGTCCCCTGGAGATTGTGCTTGCGGACGGCCCTATTGCGCTTTGTGTTCCGAGTCTGCTCCTCGACGGTCGCCCAGTGCAGGTTCCCGATCACGTTGTGACAACAGTTGCCGTCGATGTGGTCGACCGTGTGCTTGTCGCTCGGTGGTGGTCCGATGAACGTGTGGGCGATGAGGACGTAGACGAAAACATCCTTCCGGTGCCCGTCCACTTGAAGCCCGACCCTATGCCGCCCGTGCTCAATTCTGCCCTCCGTGCGCCTCCCGTCACAGAGCTGAACGCGGCCTAGGTTGCTGACCTTAGTGCCTCTCAGCAGCCTCCCATGCAACTTCGCATCCTTCCATTCTTCGCCAGGCATGTCCTCTTGCTCGGCAACATGCTCGGGACACCTACGGAACACGTGCCCACCGTACTCCACGCTCGAACCTCGCTGGATACGCCTCGACACCGGTTCCCGGACGAGCCCCAGAGTTGATGCAGCAGCACTAACCGAAACGTACCGCACCTCTCTGCCGCTCGCGACGTGACGCGCAATCACTGGGAAGCCCCTCGTGACACTTCTCTTCTTTCCGGCCCCGGGATTGTCCTTCAAGGTCTTGCGGTTGTGTTCTAGCCTACTTAGCTCCTGTAAATTACACCAGGAGTCGTCTTGAGGCGACTGTTCCGATCCATCCTCTGGTATAGGTGATGGGACGATGTGGTCGACATCCATCCCGGGAAGAATCGCGCGCCCATACGCGATCTCGAAGTTGAGGCGGTGGCGTTGGATACGCTTCCCGTCGATCCTCAGCACGATGTAGCCATTAAGCTTCGTACCCTTCAAGAAGCGCCCGGCCTCGCAACTCCAGACTCGTCCGTCCGGTAGTCCGTAGATGTGCACGTACTCGTGGTGCTGCCTCCAACCCTCGTAACTTGCTGGTGGTGCGTTCTGCTCCGAGTGCGAGCTTAAATGGCGCCTGAGGTATCCCTTGCCGGTGAATGTCTTGCTACAACCGGCGAAGTCGCACACAAACTGCTCGGGACCGTCGTTCTTCTTCGAGTCCTGCCAACCTTCCAACTGGCTCACGTCGATCGCCTGGACGCTGGGGTGTGCAAAAACATGGCTGACGAGAGCTGTCATATTGAAAGTGCTTTTCTGGCACCACAACGTTCCCCTAAGTACGTTTGCAGCTGTCGCGGCGGTTGAGCAACGGCTCGTGTTGGCAGGTGTTGGCAGCACCGAGCAAGCAAACGTCAAGTTTGGCAAGGCACGTTATACTTGTGAAGTCTAGAAAAAGGCATCGTTGCCCAGAAAGTTTTACGAAGTGCCACGAAGTGTCGCGAAGCGCAGAGATATTCACTTGACTGCAGCACGGGAGGAAGGACACGGCTCTCCGCTCACTCAAAATGCATTTTGTTGTTGACACGGATTACACGTTTATCGACGGCGGCTCCCCTAACCCCCCTCCGTGTGAGGGGGTTTCTCGACGTGGGCCAGCCCCTGACAAGTACTATCTAACCACCAAAGCATTCGAGAGTTTTGCCATGGGAGCACGTACCGAGGCCGGCGACCGGGTCAGAGCCCTCTTCAGGGCAATTCGAGATGCGTACGTGGAGCTCACCACAGCGGCCCCGAACCAACAGTTACTGCGCAAGAAGGAGCTCGAGATGCTGTTTGAGGGGCAAGGTTGCCTCTATCTCGCTTGCATCCACGAGTCGGCAAAGCTGTACAAGTACGGCTGCAGCGCCAACCTCCAGAAGCGCAATCTGGCGCACCGTAGTCACTTCAAACCCCCTTTTTCGTATCGACTAGAGATGGCATGGAAGGCTGATCAGCCACCGGACGCCGAAGAGAATTTCAAGGACGACCCGTTGATAAGAGAGATTCACGAAGCGGTCGAGATTGGAGGAACTGTGCACAGAGAGATCATCCGCTTACCCGATCATGTAGACAAGGGGTTGCTTGTGGTAGCGTTGCTTGTGGGGGTTCACACTTTGTATAATGTCTGTGAGTTCAGAGATCAGGTTTAGGTTTGCCTTGTTATATTACCCTTGACACTTGCAGTAGGCTGGAAGGCTTCTGTACGCGGATACGCAGAGCGCAAGACAAATCCAAGCCTCCCCATAGAGAGGCTAAGTCGACATTATTTGTTTTCATAAACCTTTTGAAATTTTGCTTGTTATCCGCGTATGCGCGCGCCTCAACCATGACGGGTTTCATGATTTGTATCTAAGTAAATTGAACTGAACTGAGAAGCGATTGTTTGAATCAGTGCCTGCCTAATAGGTTTCTAAGTCGGGCGCCTGTGCAATGGTCTATCTTTGTCGCCAACTATCATACTTGCAGTGACCTGTTTCGATAAGTCATCGAGAAATCCTGTGTGCAATGTCTGGACCAGATTCTTTACTTTATCATAATACAGAGATTCCGGGGTGATATATTTGTGCAAACCCCGACCATCAATCATAAGGAAAATCTCTCGGTATGGTCTACGCGCACATACACAGATAACAAGCAATTTTCAAAAGGTATCGTCAGAAAAAATTGCAGTGTTAGCTTGTATATGAGAGGCTTTCAGATTGCATGTTCTTATGCTCATCTGTGTCGTATGTCAACTATAGAGACAAACTACCCGGAAAACGGGAAAATCGTTGTGTCCGTTCAGAACCATCCGCTACAGCCCTCCAGTGTACTTGCATCTAATGCGAAATTTGCAAGCTCTGGTGGGAATGATGCAAACCAGTCCTTCAAATTGGAACACTTGATCGTGATGTCATGTGCGGCCGCGCTCACAGGCGACGCTCAAAAGCAACAC